AAACGATCTCTCGAGTTTTATAAAACGATCTCTCGAGTTTTATAAAACGATCTTTCGAGTTTTATAAAACGATCTCTCGAGTTTTATAAAACGATTCTCAAGTTTTATAAAATGATTCTCGAGTTTTATAAAACGATTCTCTAATTTTATAAAGCGATTCTCGAGATTCATAAAACTGTTGCGTTTACGCGTTTGCGGGAAATTTTGGCTATTGATTCCGTCGTACCGATTTTGACCCCAACATCACTCTTTCCGTTATTTTGCACCTAGTCAAAAAAAGTTCTAACTCCGCCTTTGTATGTGTCATAAAACTCAACTGAAAAGAACACCCGTAAATTTCAAATATGAAAATTTTGGCAACATGTAAAATAAAAAGTCTTTTGGAGGTATTCTTAGACATGTATAAGCAGGTCATTAATGTACTTAGTATGTATTGATGATTAAACTTACAGTTTTGAGAGAGAAACATTTGCGTTGCGATATTTTGTGTTGAAATCATTTTACCATGTGAACACCAGTGTTGTGTACCTGGCACAAAAGCATTTTATATTGTTTGGTGTAGTTTACAAAATTTGGATATATATTTATCATGCTGAAATCTTGATTTCTACAAATCCATTTGGTCGAGGAGCCTGCTTTCACCGAATCTTCTTTGAAATTAATAATTAGACAATTAAGGCACCATGTGCGTTGACAAAAAAAAGAAGAAAAAAGGCACGATGTGCTGTTGGTTTGCCTACAGTTGTGTTAACCGAATAATATAACTACCCTAAGGAAAAGATTATCCTTATCAACTAGTTGAACTCAGTCTTGCACTTTGTATATTTGTTTAACCTTGAATACCAAACTTGCGTAGTACGATTTTCATATGCATACCTGGTAAGAGTTTTTTTTTTTAACACCAACTGATTATATTAACATAAAAGCCTTACAGACTGAAACGAACTACAACAAGAGCCGTGCTCAATGATGAGAAGATAATAACCAGAAGTATATTCGACGGTAGAACAAAGCTAGAAAACATTACAAAATAAGTATAGATAAAATCATCTCGGGGCGAGACATGGGCAAGACATGTTCAGCGAAATGAAGAAACCCAAAAGGAAACTTCACTTTTGTTCCCATGGCGATTGTTCGGAAAAACAATTGATAGTCAAAAACGACGTTGAAACACCTATAAGAAGCCGTGGAAATGTTGACTGTCGAGAACCTTAGATGAGAAGCTCTAGAACCATAGGCAACATTGAGAGAACGAAGTCCTATCTGACTTGATATAACGCTGAAACTAACATAAACAGCTTTAAACCCAACAAGGCTTACCAAAGAGACTAGGTGAATCTCGAGCTCTAACTTTGTCTCCAAAGAGACGCTTAAGATAAAGTTTGATGACATAGCTGATGGTTGAAATAGGTTCAAACCTCGAAACTCAATATTACCGTATCGAGTCGAGTAATTTGTGACCAAAAACCTAAGCATATTGTCATCATACTCGTTCAAACAGAATGTGTCAGAGCAAACATCGGATAAGAGGTAAAAAGATTCGGGTTGGTTGGACACCACTCCGGTTTGAAGGTGGCATAGTTGACACTGTGAAAGACCATTGATGCTTGAGACATCATATTGTGATGGACTCGCAATGATGATGTAGCTTGTAAATCTGGCGAGTTCACCCTCTTGCACAGTAAGGTCAGCGACGAAGAGACCGAGAAAGCCACAAAACCGGTCTTTTGAAGAACCGTTGATGCTTGAGACAGCATAATGTGATAGACACAAAGCAGTGAGATAGTCATGAGTAAATCTAGCGGACCAACACTCTTGCACAATAGATCCGGTGGTTACTAGAAAAAGGGGTTTAAACGATATAGCCTAGCTCCATAGAAGCCTTGACGAAATGGGTGGGTCTGGGTCTTGGAGAACAGTCGCGGGACAAACACAAAACGTTCGCCAGAGACGGTGGAAACCATCTATAGTCGGAAATTGAAGCTCATCACGACTGTGTGGGGCGAGGTGGTAGAGATTTGTAGCAACGGAGAAGGGATGGTGTCAAGGCTAGATGACGGCTCCAGAATCCATTCTAGTGGTGACCTGAGATGGTGCAGCTCCGACTTTGTGGCTTGAGTACCATCTATATAGGGTGTAACGGTACCATCGGTTAGTGTTCCGGCGAACCGGTTCGGTGAAATGCAGCGGTGTACTAGAACGGCAGAACTAGAGTGACGAGGAGGAGAAGCCGGAGAGAGGCATGAGACGACACAAAGAACTCCAGAGTAGTCGGCTTTTCCAGAGAGACTCACAGATCTGACCTTGAAAGAAGTGCTGGCGAAGGGAGGAGGAGGATATGACGACAGATCTGGAGAAAAACAATTGCAAAAGGTGGCTGTAGACATGGGCGAAGAGAGAAGAAGGCTGACAATGGGCTTGACGAGACAGAGTACAATGGTACAAAGGACGAAGATGAAACGGACGGCGGAAGAGCCAGGCGGAGAGTAGTTAGCGGAGAGAATAGGCAGTCGACGCCAACGGCAAGTGGAGCCGCCAGCGTCAAGAAATGAGTTGTGCAGTGTTACCTCGTTTATCGTGTCTGGAAGAGTTGAAAACTAGGGCGAACTGTCAGTTATAAGCTACCTGATAAAAATTGTTCTGGTAAATGTTTTCTTTCGTTGTTTCTTTTGTCAGTTACCAACATACTAGTTACCACCATTTTAAATGGTAAGTATATATCTCCCTCGTAGATAGATGAAGTCTCACTTTAACTCATTGTTTATAAAAATAAAAACAACCTTCCTTTTTAATAAATTTTTTTTTACCAAAAAAGAATACCTAATAAAAATTGTTCCGTTCATTGTAAATCTCTTCGTTGTTTCTTTTATCAGTTACCAGACTACTAGTTACCATCATTTTAAATCTCGGTTTGACTCCTTTTTTATAAAAAAATATATTATTTGGTTATACTATTTTGAGATAAAGAAATATTTGGCAAAAAATATGTAAAAAATTAAGAAAACATTAGCAAAAAATAATAAAAAAGAAACAAAATGATATTGAGAAAAAATAAGAAAAATGCGAAAAAGATGCATAATATGTGTTACAAAAGTTAATGTGATAATTACATATATAATTTAATAAGCATTTGTTATTACTACATACATCAAATTTATGGAAACTTTATAACTAATTATCAATTTATTTGAAGTTATAAATTATATTTCTAAAGTTTTTTATTATTATTCAAAATTGATGACATTATATACATAATATATATTTCCATACAATATTTATATCCGCGAATTTGCGGAGAACAACCTCCTAGTTATCTTTTTAAAAATTGAACATACAAGTTCAGCCAGGGTTTTAAATCTATATTATTAAAACTGAAGTACCTTTTGGTACTGTTTGGAAATAAGGATAGCAAAATAAATGAAACATTGTTTGGAAATATGGATATTAGATTAAATATTTTCTTTTATTTATACATTTAGCCATTGTATTTACAATAAATTAAATACTATTTATTTTTATTTACAGATTATGTCATTGCATTTAAAATCAGTTTAAGTTAATTAATTTCTATGATATTTCTTTCTCTGTGATGAAAATAAAAACACAAACCGAAATATATAATATACATTATAAAATAATTTTTAAATATAATATTACCTTATTTAATTTAGTCAAATATAAAATTGTGTGAGTTCAATTTTTTTTAAAAATATCATAAAATTAATGATAATTCATAGAAAACTAATTCAAAAAAAATAATTGTTAGTATGTTGTTTTAATTAAAATAAATTAACAAAAAACAACATGTTAGTATATGAATAGTACGATTACATCAAATTGCATCAAGTTATAAAACTTCTAATATATTATTATGTACAAATAAAAATTATTATTAAATATTTATATTATAAAATAATATATTTTACTTTATATGTAAATTACAATATATAAAAATAAATTTGTAAAAAATCAACGGTTTGTGAATTTATGTTAAACACAAGTTAAATCAAACACCCACACCCAGTATACGATTATACGATAAAGTCTTAACACATCACATGTTCCTCCGTGCACAGGGCTTCCTTTCTAGAATATTCAGATTTTATTTTTATTTTTTTTTTGATAAAGGGCTTTAGAATATCAGATTTGCCGAGGTGTTATGAGATATTTCTCCAATAATTTTGTTATATTTAATATTTTCATGCTAGACTAATTTTATTATATATTTTTCATGTAAAAGCTTACTAAACTCGGTATTGTTTACGTTTTCTTATTTTATTTCCGTCAATCTTACTGAACTGGCATATTTAGTTGGGAATCCGACGAAACAGCTTGCTTTCATGATTTTATTTTAAAAAATTAGCAAGTTAATTATTATTAAAAGGACAATCTAAAATATGGTGACTATACCTACTATGTGATTAATTTGCATTGTGGATATATTGGAGTCATGAGAGAATTGATAAACAATATCATCCCATGGTTTCAAGTTACAAAAAACATATCATCCCGATGGTACCATTATGATGAACATGTTTGAGTAAACTTGAAGATAGCTTAAACATCAAGTCGTCCTAATCCTAGTTGAATTATGATTTAATAAAAGGATTATATTGTGTTTAGGAAATATCGAGATAAGTATTTACTAATAGGATTAAGATCATATGTCACTATATATATTGATGTCAAGTTATAACATCTGTTATGTGTGATTTGAGAGATTGTTAGAGTTTAAGTTTTGGGCAAATTTCTTAAGCTGATAAGAAGAGTTATTCTTATAATTGTGTTTTTATACAAAGTGATTACAACAATATTTGGTATCAGAACCAGCAATGGGAGATCTTATTGTAACCTCGACGATGAAACTAAAGGAGGGACGAGCCTCGTCAATCAAGTGTCCCATTTTTATCGCAACCAACTACATCTCAATTTCTGTCTGTAAACTATATTACCCCCTTCTCCCTTGATATCAATCAATACATGAGTCATCACCAAACCCGACCTTCCCTGAAACAGAGTCGTCAATGCTGGAGAAATACCGTCGATCTCCACTCATGTGGTTTGATGCTCCAATATCGAGGTACCAGATATCATATTCTCCAGCCTGTGCTTCGCAGTTACTCGGTATTATTTTTCCTTCATTCAAATAAACAACTTCATGCATCATGAGCTCCTCTGCTTCTTGTGTTTCATTGTTTCCACTTTCTTGTGATTCCTGTAATTTGAGTAACCATTCAGGACAGTTGTATGCGAAATGTCCTATCTTGTCACAACAAAAACAAGTGACCCTCGATGCATCTCATGGTCCATTGAAACGTCCACGACCTCGTCCTCTATTATTGAAGCGTTCTCCATGCCCTCGTCCTCTGTTATACTCGTAGTTGAGATCGCAGATTGCTTGTGATTCCATGGTCGCATACATTAACTTGCCTTGATCTTCCGAAGCTTCTTCTTCTTCTTCATTCACTTGTTCTTCATAGGCTTTTAACCGGCCTATAATATCCTCAAAGCTTGTGGTTTTGAGGTCAAGTACTTGCTTTAATGCAGCTATGATATGTATAAATTTCTTGCGCGAAAGACTTTTTAGAAACATCTTGACTAACTTCGATTCTTCTATCTCTTCTCATAGGGTGCTCGAATTTGATGATATCTCAAGACAGTTTCTCAGAAAATTCATCTATGGTCTATGTGTCTTTCATCTTGTCACGATCAAAACTTGACATTAAAGTTTGTAACCTTGCTTCTCTAACTCTCTCCGCTTCCACATGTCTCATTTTGATTGCTTCCCATATCTTTTTTGTTGTATCTAGTTCCCCAACCTGCAAAATAAGCGCCTCCGATATTGCCTGAAACAATAGAGCTATGGCCATGTCTCTCTTATCTGCGTCTTCCACTTGGTATTGATAACTCCCCACACCTTATGTACTTTAAACAGAATTTTCATTCTAATGCAAGAAAAATAACAGATGTTTACTTTATCCCTGACCTCAAGAGCAATATTATCAGTCTTGGACAGACAACAGAATCAGGATGCGACGTGAGAATGAAAAGGGAATACCTTGTAATGCATGACAGGGATGGGAAACTAATTGCTAAGGCGTTTAGATCAAAGAATAGACTATATAAAGTCCGTATGGGACTAAAGGATGATATATCTTTATTTTCTACAATGACAAGTTATTCTCATAGATGGCATGCAAGATTGGGGCATATCAACTTTGAGACCATGAAATCAATGATCTAACGAGCTCTGGTGATAGGAATTCCGCATATAGACGTAGAGAAGAAGGTGTGAGGATCATGTTTATAAGGAAAACAACCAAGACAGGCGTTTCCAAAAGCCACAAGTTATCGAGCTTCTAAGAAGCTTGAACTTTTCCATGGAGATCTATGTGGTCCTATAAGCCCACATACAAGTGCTGGTAACAAATATGTGTTTGTTCTTATCGATGATTTCTCTAGGTACATGTGGACAAATCTTCTAAAAGATATAGGGGATGCATTCAACAAGTTCAGGATCGTGGAACAAGATTCAGGTTCATGTGTACAACCCTTTAGGACAGACAGAGGTGGTGAGTTTGTATCACATGATTTCAACTCTTTTTGTGCATTTGCAGGGATAAAGCGACATCTAACTGCTCCATATACCTCGCAAAAAAACGGCGTAGTCGAGAGACGCAATAGGACAATGATGGAGATGACAAGAAGTATTATGAAGCACTTGTCCAATCCAAATTACTTTTGGGGAGACACAATAAGGTATACCACCTATCTCTTGAACTGTATAGCAACAAGGGTGCTTAAGGATCGAACTCCATATGAAGTATATCATGACCAGAGGCCAAATATCAGCCACATCCGTGTTTTTGGTTGTATTGGGTATGCAAGAGTGGAAGCAAATTTTCTAAAGAAACTTGATAATAGGTCTCGTATGCTAGTTTACCTTGGAACAAAACCGGGTTCTAATGCATATTAGCTGTTTGATCCACGAAAACAGAAGATAATAGTGAGTCGAGATGTGGTGTTTGATGAATCAAAGGGCTGGAATTGGGATCGTTGAGGCTCGGACCAGGACAAAGCGGGAAACTTCAAAATCATGTTCGGATCTTTTGGGAATTATGGAATCCAAGAGAAAGATGTTGGGAACTAATAGAACCAAGAGAAGTTGGTAATGAGGAATATAACACTATATCAGACGTTTCTGATAATGAGAGTGAAGATGATCATAACGTGACATAGACTCAATATGCGGAAGGACCAGTGTTAAGAAGGTCACAAAGAGAAATTTCTGAGCCAAAGTACCATGAAGATTATGTGTTACTTGCGGAGGAAGAAGGATAACGTTTTTTGTTGAGTCTAAACAATGAACTGTTGAGTTTTGAAGAAG